CTTTGTTTACTGTTAAGCAATGTTTTGCTGATGTCCCATGTCTAGCACACCAAGGAGTCCAAGAGCCGTGGTTTCACCCTGCCCACAGGGATAAACACTAAATCACAAAAGGGCCATAGCGTGTGGGTCAACGAGTGAGTGTTTGTGTCCATGTGTGTCCATGGGAGTGTGAAAAAGCTCAATCGAGGCACTCCATGAGATTGTTAGCACGAACCGGACCACCCTCCCCTCTTGTATCCCTTTTAAGTGCTGACTAGCCTGATGATAACGTATGGCGCCAGAAGTAATTGGAAAATTGGCAGGCTTGTCAGAGAGATTTGGTGGATGGCACAGGCTGATCCGGCAGCAAGGTTCATGAGGCGTCGTCCCACCATGAGATTTATATCCCCTGCACGGCCCGGCAACGGCAAAGTACCCGGAGTTCAGTAAAAAGTAACTCATTTTTCATAAGGCCTGGCTGCAGATCAAAAGTCATCCACAGACAGAGACAAGACCCAAATGGGAGAGACATTGCTGAATAAAGCAAAGCTGTCTGTCCTGATTAACTGCTGAGACTGCTCCTAAAGCCACGTATTGGGTGTGTATCACAATTCTGATCTTTGTATGTCTGAAAATTATGCTGGCCTATAGCAGTTTTTTTTTTTTTTTTAGTTTTTTTTAACATATGAAACATTTGTCATTACTATTTAATTACTAGGTTATTACTATATTCATTGAATCTGCCTTTATAAATGTATTACTAGTTCTAAGAAAAGTAGAGGCTTAAACTATGACCTGTAGTAGAATCCCATATGTTGTGGACATACTTTTTTACAAGCTTATTACTATGTAATTACTTCGTTGTTACTATTTGCATTCGGTTTGCTTATATTAATGTATTAATTGCCATTAACAATTGATTTTAATGAGGTATCTGTCTGAAAACTGACATTGTAGTTTCTCATATCTTGTCATACTTTTTTTAAGAAGCTTATAACTATGTAATTACTTTTGTTAAATTACTGTTGTTGCTATGTTCATATATTGTGGCCATACTTCAAAATGTTATTACTAGGTTATTACTATGTTTTCTATAAACATTGGATTTGCTTCTTTAAATGTATAAATATTTCTAAGAAACAGTAGATGCTTTCAATCAGATGACTGAAAACTATGACCTATGGTAGTGTCATTAATTGTGGCCATACTTTTTACAAGGTTATTATATGGAAATTCTAGGTAATTACAGCCCGTTCTCATCCTTTAGCGTCACATAAACGCTATATGACAAAACGGCGCTATACTACGCACATGGCACCCTTTATCGTGAATATAAAACGCGAACCCAAGACGTCATAAATCCTTTAGCGTGAATATGACACGCAGACCCTACCCCACACCTAAACTTAGCCCTCACAGTGCGTGTTATATTAACGATAACGGGTGCCATGTGCATAGTATAGCGCCGTTTTGTCATATAGCGTTCTTTAGGACGCTAAAGGATGAGAATGCGTTGGTTTTTACTATATTCATTGGATTTGTTTATTTAAATTTATGAATTGCTCTTAAGAATAATAGATGCTTTTAATGAGACGTCTGGAAACCGACAATGTAGTTTCCCATATATTGTTCTCATGCTTTTTTTACAAGATAATAACTATGTTATTAGTAGGTTATTACTATGTTTTTAGTACAATTATTGGATTTGCTTTGATAAATTTATTAACACCTCTAAGGAACAATAAATGCGTTTAATGATATGTCTGACAAATATGACTGATAGTAGTTTACCATAAATTGTGGCCACACTTTTTAAAAAGGTTATTATTATGTAATTAGTTTATTATTTATTTATTTATTTCAGGCAAAATAGTGTGACAACAGAAAAGATTCAATAATATTCAGGGTTCCTGCAGCTCCTTAAAAAGTCTTAAATTAGATATTTAAAAATTAAGGCAATTAAAAGTCTGATAAAGTCTTAATTTTACATATGAAAGGTCTTACATTTTAGATGACACTTCGACTTAGTCATATCTTAATGTTTTCCACATTAAAACCATCTAATTTGCGTACGTATACTTTTTTTTTAATCTATCTTTGTGGATTTGCTTGTTCACGTGACAATTCGCGGCAGAATAACGTCTCCTGCACGCGAGAGAGGAGAGGAGGAGAGAAGAAAGTTGGCATAGACATGTATTTATTATGTCTATGGTTATTGGTATGTCCCCAAATTAGTTTTTGCCTTATATTTATATCATGTTGTTATATTAGAATATCACATCAGTAAGAGTGCCGTTTTCCCGTGCACAAGTGTGATATTTATGTTATACAATAGTTAAATTAAAATTAAACTGACATTGTGAGTTAGTTTTTAGACATAACATTATCGATATTGTTTGTTTTCCCTTTATTTCGCCGACTAGAATTTCAAAATGAAACTGTAGCAGAGTCTCAATGCAACAGACAGCGATGATTTCTTGGAGGAAATGACAAGTTTTGAACGAGTCATTTTAACGATTCAATCACTTGCTTCTTTCCCGTTTGAACAAATCGGTTGAATGAATGACTCCCTCAACTCGCTTATTAAGACAGCGATTTACCACCGCCTACTAGCGGTTTTAGTTTCATATTAAAAGTAAAACGTTAAAATTAGAAATCATTTCACATTTAAGTGTATATACCTAATTATAAGGTTATTAGTAGGTCGTTACTATGTAACTACTATATTCATTGGATTTTCTTCTAAAAATGTTACAATTGCTCTAAGGAACAATGGATGCTTTTAATGAGATGCGTGCTCTTGATTCTTTCTGTAAGTAAAGCCATGAATCATCATGTGCTTCTCAGCTTCTTTGAGTATAGTGTGTGGTCAGGGCTCTGCCATCACACATGGCTGTGCGTAGATGTGTTTATTAACCTTTGCAGGAGGGGATAATTGCATCTGTCAGACTCACTTAAAAGCTGAGATGGCCGTCATTTCCTGTTTGTCGTCTCCTCTGAATTTGCAGGTTGTGTAAATGACTCTGGCATGATGTTTGCTCTTTGTTCACTGCTGTAAAGGGGAAAAAATACCATTATTCAGAGTTAAGCATTGTAATACAGTTTAAAACTGGGATTATTGCTAGTAAATTTCTAGTAACATACATTCAAATTAGAAAAGAAAATGGACACGGACTAGCTGTCTTTAAAGGAACACTCTGACTTTTTGGGACTTTAGCCTATTCACCATATCCCCCAGAGTTAGATAAGTCCATACATACCTTTTTCATCTCTGTGCGTGCTATAAGTCTGTTTGGCGCACCCACCGCTAGCCTAGCTTAGCACAAAGACTGGATGTAAATGGTTGCAGCTAGCATACTAATCCAAATAAGTGACAAAATAACGCAAACATTTTCCTATTTACATTTGTATAGTCACTGAGGTCATATGAGACACAGACATCTTTTAACTGTATAAATACTGGGAACTATATTTTCTGAAGGCGAAGCACTGCTACTTGGGTGGAGTGATAACCGCAGCACCTGAGACACACCGTGGAGAGGAGCAGAGAGTTCGCTCAGAGTTGGAGTAATAGAGTCAGCAATTACTAGATAGAAAAGCATAGTTTATCATGGGTGTCATGATTAAAAAAAAAAATCTGATTCATTAGCAAGATGAAGGCTACAGTCCTGAGTTTACCTCTAACTCCGCTCATTTGTTACTGGGGCGATAGAAGGCATTCGTGACAAAACAATACTAATATTAGGGCCTGCTCACATATCACGTCTTCTGCGCGCTCAAGTTCGGTATTTCAAATGTAGGTTTTTTCCAAGCGCGTCCATGCCGCATCGAGATAAAAACATATTCATACCCTATATATATAATAGTGTCACTAACATTACATTAGATCTGGCTTATGGCACTGTTACAGTAGGTCATCTAAAAACATAACGGAACACTTACCGCAGCCGATCCACTTTGTCCTGTCTGTGCTATCGATGGGATGGCCGTATCCTTCAGCACATGTTTCTTGGTCCGTATGGCAAATTCCATTTTTTTTTTTTTTTTTTAAATAGTCGTACTCAGTGAAATGTACTGAGCAAACATAATGTTCCTTGATAATCTCTTTAGGTGTGTTTGGATCAATTTCCAGAGCAAGTAGCCATTTCTTCATCCGATCAGCGCTTTTAATTGGAATTCTGTGAAACATGGTATTACCCAGTCTCCCCTGTTTATTGTCGCAACTCTTTACAATACAGCGAAAACCAATGATTGTAAACTGCGGTTTTACTATGTTTAAATTGCTGACTCTGTTACCCAAACTCTGAACGAACTCTCTGCTCCTCACCACGGCACGTCTCAGGTGCTGCGGATATCACTCCACCCAAGTAGCAGTGCTTCGCCTTCTGAGAATATAGTTCCCAGTATTTATACGGTTAAAAGATGTCTGTCTCATGTGACTTTGTTTTTTGTACACTCTGTGACTATACAAATCATAACATGTAAATAGAAAAATGTTTGCGTTATTTTGTCACTGTATGCTAGCTGCAACCATTTACATCCAGTCTTTGTGCTAAGCTAAGCTAGCGGTGGGTGCGTCAAACAGCCTTATAGCACGCACAGAGATGAAAAAGGTATGTATGGACTTATCTAACTCTGGGGGATATGGTGAATAGGCTAAAGTCCTGTTTTTTGGTCAGACTTCATATAAGTTATCTTTAACTACTATGTACCTACATTTAGGTTGAGTACACTGAGTCCACCAAAGCTTGCACAGTAGTTTACCTCTCTTTTTGGGTTGAGATTTTTCTCTGCAACATTAGGCAGTTTTGTTTTATAAGCTGTTGAATATTTGCTGCTCACTTTAGCTTGCTTTACTTCTATCTGCTCCTTCCGATCTGTTTGTTTTTGGAACCGGAAATGTTGTACTTTCAGAAGATCCGCAACAGTGCCCCTTACTGTAAAACATGTACAGTGAAAACATGTATAGCTGGAAAATCTCATCAATGGAGGTTAATAAGATACTTTTTTTTTTTTTTCAGGAGGAAGAACCACAAGAAGTTGATGAAGAGTCTGGGAAAGAGGAAACGGAAGAGCAAGAGATCCCAGACTGAAAAACTTGAGTTACCTTATCGTTACCTCACATGAAATAATCATCTTGCCTACACAGTTAGCACCATCACCTCATTCCTGCTGAATAGTGGGATGCAAAATAACTTTCACAAATTAAATCAACGAACTGCCACTGCTTCACAAGACTGAAACTTTCCTCCTTTGTTAACCAGGAATCGATCAAATGACCACTACTGCCAGGTTAAAAAAAAATTGTCAATGCTGTGATATTTTTTCAAAAATATAGGGTATTGTAGTATGTTCAAGTTCACAGTCTTGAATGAATTTCAGAGTTCAACCCAGGGAATCTTTGGAGTGGTGGTAGAACAGCAGGACCTCATATGAGTCTGCTTTTACCTTGAACACTCTATGCCCACTCAAAGCCTGTTTTTTAAAGGTTATTTTTCATATACTAATTAACATTTCCCATGACTCATGGATGTGAATATTATACTGGTGTTGTGTGTGTCCAGAGTTTTCTTAAGCAATGTTTCTGTTATACAGCAATTGCACACTATTTGTTCCTGTCCCGTAAACAGCTTTGTTTATCAGCCCTTTATATTTGCTTTATATTTTCCCATTTTATTTCATATTGTTTAAACACCAACATATTATAGTGTAATAATTAACTTGCATTGGCATTGCATTGAAACTGACAGTTAGTGTCTTGCGTTATATAAATAATTCCTTACTTCCTGGTGGTAAGAGCAAAGTCTATTTTATTATTTTTTACAAATATCATTTTTATACCTACAGTATATTCCAGAACATCCTTTATCATTGACAGTGTTATTGTCCATGCTCATGTTTGAGGCAATTCTCAGTCAAAAAATAAATAAATAATCTGCCTCAACATTTGAGTTCCAGAAGTCTGTATTTGGGCACTTAAAAAAGAAAGTTATAACTACATACGGTCAGTGAAAGGAGATGTATTTAGTTGGATATCGTGTTTGGGAGATGTTTATATACTGGTTTAATCATTCATTTTTGATTTTTCTAGTTATTATGTGTGTGTGTGTGTGTGTGTGTGTGTGTGTGTGTGTGTGTGTGTGTGTGTATACAATTACGTGTATATACTGTATAGATGTATTAATGTTTTATTCGCAATTTTAATGTGGGATATATATAGCCGAGAAGACATCACATGAGACTGTGGCAAGGGGGATACAGACATTTCATGTATTCAAATCCGACTAGATTAATTTATTTTATAACATAATTTTATGTTATTAGGTATTTTTTTTTTTATTAGGTACATAATTTTATGTAATTTTATGGTATTAGGTATCACCTAACATAAAATTAAGTAGATTTGAACTGACAGATTGTGTCTGCTTCCCGGACGATGTTGGAAGATTGTTCCAGAGTTTTGGTGCTAAATAGGAAAAGGATCTACCACCAGCAGTCGATTTTGATATTCTAGGTATAGACCATTTTGCAAGATGTAAACAAAACTGGTCCAGAAGCACTTCCTGTTTCAGTTTTTTAAACCAGTATAACATAAAAGCTGGGATAAAATACAACCAACAGAACATATAAAACTGAATCAAAAAGTTAAACAAACATCTTTAAGTTTTTTTCTTTACATGTGAAATAAAGAAAACAGATACAAACTGAAACAGGAAGTCTTTCTGGACCATTGTTGTTTAGATCTTGCAAAATGGTCTACCGGAGTTTTGAGAACGCATGACATGAAGGACTATAATGCATTAAGAGCTTGCTCAAGTACTGCGGAGCTAAACCATTTAGTGTTTTATAAGTAATCAGCAATATTTTAAAATTTATACGATGTTTAATAGGCAGCCAATGCAGGGTTGGCAGAACCGGGCTAATACGAAGACTTAACAGAGCAGCCATCAAGTGTTAGGGAGTATTCTTGGCTGTTACGTGTGAAAATTTTGTCCAATAATTAGAATCTCTGTTTTTTTTTTTTTCAGAATTTAGTAATAGGAAATTACTAGTCATCCAAAGTTTTATATCAGCTATGCATTCCGTTAATTTTGTGAGTTGGTAAGTTTTGTTAGGTTTTGAAGAAATATACAGCTGGGTATCATCAGCATAACAGTGAAAGCTAATTCCATGTTTCCTAATGATATCTCCTAATGGTAGCATGTACAGAGTGAATAGCAACGGTCCTAGTACTGAGCCTTGTGGTACGCCATACTGAACTTGTGATCGATAAGACATCTCATTTACTGCTACAAACTGATAATGGTCATATAAGTATGATTTAAACCATGCTAATGCAGTTCCACAAATGCCAACATAGTTTTCTAGTCTATTTAAATGAATGTTGTGGTCATTTGTGTCAAATGCAGCACTAAGATCGAGTAAAGATCGAGAGATACAACCACGATCGGACGAGCAGATCATTTGTGACTCTAATGAGAGCTGTCTCGGTACTATGATGTGGTGGTGAGTGTTTAGATCTTACGAAATATCATGGAGTGTAATAGTTTGATAATGAAAGCATTACTTTATCACTCCAATGATGTGCAAGTCCAAAGATGTTTTTCAAGGGTTCAGTGAAACTTGCCGGTGGGCAAACCAACAGAAAATCGTCTTTATCCAACGCTGTCGTGTCTTACTCACAGTGCACATGTCATTTAACCATTCCCTCACACCACAGGGGCAAAAGAAGACCATAAATGCCATTTTATCTTAGCATCTCATTGCCTCACAAAGCTTCTCCTCCCCTCACCCTGTCAGGGCATCTGGCTTGCCTTCTTATATTAATGCATCGAGGGGTGTAATTCCAATTTGTTCCAAAGCAACTATTAATTTGGCCATTTCAGAGCCGTGCAGGAGGAACCCCTGTAAGGCCACTGAACTATGAAAGACATTATCATATGACATGTCTCCTCCTTTCTTTTTATTTTCTCGAAGAGGTAGGATTTGGTGTTGATGCGTCGCTGGTTCCTTCAGCCGTTTGCGATGGACCCCCTGAAGCTGAGCACTCAGCATGCAGCATGCGAACTGTGTCATTAGGGTTGTAATAATGGCAGCGGGTGTGCTTTTGTCAGAGTGGTCTTCTCGTTCAAGACCCCCATGCCCCCTTCCACAACCTGATTACAAACTCTGCATAATAAAAAGGTCCTGTGATGGGAACTTCATGTTCAATGAAGGAGGCGAGATTTGCTCAGCAAGCATACGTTTTATCCATGAGAACTCAAAAACTGTAATATCGAAGAGTGTGATAACCGCTAGATTATGCAATGGTAATATGAATTCTGGCTGAAGACATTGTGGTCATCATGGTGATGATGATAGTCTGAAGCATAGAGGTCTAGGAGAAAGCTAAGCGTTTCCAATCATCTCAATGGCAGCTGCTCAGTAAATGCATGACTTCCCATAAGTATGCAATGTCACTGGTAAAACATTTATAATGAAACAAGTATTAGTTCATATTGCGTTCATAATTTAAAATAAAAACATAAAATAAACAATGTATATCTCTGAAAAAGCATTAATGCTTTTCTGACCTTTATTCCTAAATTAGCACCATATTGAGTTCAAAAAGTTTTCAAAAGTTTTCAAAAAAAATCATCCCATCAAGTTTTATACACGCAAACACAAATTTCCCATACCGTCATCTCCTAAGCACAGGCGTTCTTTGCTCTGACAGCCTCCATTATTCTCAGTCTGTCTGCTTCTAATATTTCTGCTGTTTGCTGAGGGAACGAAGACGGTAAAGATTCACTTATGAGGTGGAGCACCATCCCGATCAGAGTTCTGAATATCCACAGTTGCTCTAACTCCTTGTTCTCTGGGTTTAATTGCTCCGAATAATGCTTTAAATAGCATCACCTTGGTATCTGAGCGCTGTGTGGAAGATGACCTTTTCCAGACTGTGTAGTGCTTTGACATAGTCATTTCCCAGCCCTTAATATACTCCGAGACTACTCTGTTCAGAGGGAACGTTCACAGGGTGCTAATCTCTACCTCTCAACACCTCGTTCCACACGTAGTCATTAGGAGAGGGGGGTCTTAAAAGGGTTCCTGACACACTGGAGTTAGACATCTTAATAACTCTCATTTCAAACTAACTGGGGGAAATACTGTATCGAAGATGACAGTGTAAGATGTAATGTGATTTTCTGTTCTTTAAGGTTTATTGAGGTTCAGTTCCTTCAGTTGCCTTGAAAGATCTAAGAAAAACTTATTACATCAATGCTGAATTATCCTGCCTGGGAAGCTTATGCCTCCAAGCCAGCATTCGTCATGCATTTAAGGAAATGACATAGATGTAAAGAATGATATTGGGAACAATAAACAAGCCTGGTCTCATCCCAAGGCGTCATCTAACTGACGCTTTTGACCATGCGTCAACATTCCACGTGCATGGCACCCTTTAGCATCAATATGGGACGCAGATATATATGGGCCAGAAGGCGCCTCCTAGTGGTCTAACCCTACCCCAGACCTAAACCTACCCATAACGGAAGCGTTAATTATTTTTTTTGTCCATTCCAATGGACATCAGGTCAAAACAGGTGTACTTCCTAAAAAATGTACCAACATGAAATGAATTAATAAACATAAAATTTGTTGGTCTATACTTTAAGCTTTTTCTCAAGGTCAAAAAAATTCCAGCAGTATACCATTTCAACTATAAATTTGAGGTATTTGTTTTACAGATTGCACATTCTTTGTAACAAACTAAATATATTCAAATCAATCAATCTGGTCATATTAGAGTCATTTTCTGTGTGCATCTTTCTTTTTTTAGAACAAAAACTTGAACATTATAACATTACAACTTTAATCATATGGTTTTTCCTTTATATTGCACATTTGTTTATTTGGTTATTGTTTATTATTTGCAATTAGACAGAATCCCGCCTGTAATCTATTGAATGGGGATTTGGGTAGTGTATTTTTTGGACATTTTATTTAAAGTTTCTTTCATGATAAAAACTATTTTACTGCACTCAGCTGGGGCCCCTGAGACCGTAGCACCAAGCGCCATCCCAAATTTCCACCGTCCACGAACCCACTATTTTTATTATGGCATAAATGCTTTGTGGGATGTCCATATCTCAGTTCTGGAAGGGTCTAGAGCCTCCATTTTTGCACTCAGGTCTAAGATTCATGGCCCTCTATCAGAATCCAGAGTTTCAAGAAGATCAGAGAAACTCAAAATTTCGACACAAAAAAACGACAAAAAAAATTCTCTGATCTTTTTGATACTCTAGATTCTGATAGAGGGCCATGGGACTTGGACCTGAGTGCAACAATTGAGGCTCTAGACCCTTCCAGAGCTGAGATATTAAGATACCACGTAGCATTTATGCCATTATAAATATCTCAATATCTCAGCTCTGGAAGGGTCTAGAGCCTCCATTTTTGCACTCAGGTCTAAGTGTCATGGCCCTCTATCAGAATCCAGAGTTTTAAGAAGATAAGATAAACTCAAAATGTGCAAAAATGGAGTCTCTAGACCCTTGAGCTGAGATATTGAGATATTTATAATGGCATAAATGCTACGTGGGATCTCAATATCTCAGCTCAGGAAGAGTCTAGAGCCTCCATTTTTGCACTCAGGTCTAAGTCCCATGGCCCTCTCAGAATCCAGAGTTTTGATAAGATTGGAGAAACTTATTTATTCGCACCAAAAAAAAAAAAAAAAAAAAACGACAGGGGTAACACTCGTTTTTTGTTTTTTTTGGGGGGTCGAAATTTTGAGTTTCTCTGATC